GGGGGGAGGGAGGGAAAGAAGGAAGGAAGGAAAGAAAGAAAAAGAAGGAAGGAAGGGAGGGAGGGAGGGAGGGAGGGAGGAAGGGAGGGGGAAGGGAGGGAAAGAAGGAAGGAAGGAAAGAAAGAAAAAGAAGAAGGAAGGAAGGGAGGGAGGGAAAAAGAAGGAAGGCAGAGAAAGGAAGGAAGGAAGGAAAGAAGGGGAAGAAAGAGAAAGAAAGAAGGAAAGAAAGAAAGAAAGAGAAGATGACAAATGGGAAATAAAGGGGGAAAGATGGAAAGTAAAAGGGCAAACTTGAGGGTTTTTTTAATATAATATAGACTTGAACATATTGAAATGTTGATGGGAAGAGACCAGTGCAGAGGTAAGTAAAGCTTACAGATATAAGCTAGGGAGGGAAGAGTGGTCCCTGAGAATGAGAAGGGCTCAGATTTATCCATGTGTCAGGAGAGGAGGAAAATACAGCTGCAAGTTTAGAGTGGTTTAGGTCTGATGGCAGGAAGCTGGGGGATTTGCAAGGTTATTGCTGATGGTGACAGGGGCTGCAGAGTAGCAGGCAGGGGGATGGTGCAGTTGGAGTCTGAGAGAAGAATTGGAATGGCCTGTGTGGAGAACAGGACAGAGGCACAGAAAGATTACGAGTCATGGAGCGAGCTGTTGGAGAACGTGAAGTTACAGTGGCTCCAATGCATATGGCCGTGGGAGGCTTTGGGGCAGTGCTCAGCTGTGTCAACAGGAGCACAAAGACAGCAAATGGCTGGAGTGTGGCAGGACTGCAGGACAAGGAGTAGAGGCTCTTGGAAAGCTGAGTAAAAATGGAAGGGAAGACAGAAGGCAGCCCAGAGAGGCTTGAAGTAGGTCTAGGACTCAGATAAAAGTGGGGAGCCCTACCTGGTAAGTGCCCACATTTTGCCTGGAGGGCTGAAGAACAGGTGAGGAGGGCCTGTGCCTGGGCTCAGATCACTCATGCGTCCCCTGTCTGACACGGACCAGAGACCCACGGCCTGCCCCGCTGCCACCCACACTACGTCTTCACAATCTGTCCCTGACTTCACAGCTTCTCATCCCCCCATGCTCTGCATGTGGTCAGCTGTCTCCTTCCCTCCTCCTCCTACATTCCCATCCTTCCTGCCTCTGGGCCCTTCTTCATGGCCTCCCCATCCCTGCCCCCTGAACAACCTCTCCCCTGCCACCGCCACACACACACACACACACACACACACACACACACACACTTTTTGTCCATTCAAACTCTCTCTTACTTCTAAGGCCCCAATCAATCCCCTCTCCTTAATGAAACTTTCATTATCAGCTCCTCTGACTTCCTTTTCTGAATCCCTGGGGCATTTATAAAAGGGATCTCAGCGCAACTGCATAACTGGGTAACAGTCTCATGGTATCTGTTAATTGTCTCATTTGTGATTTTGGTCTTTGTAATTTGGTCTCATGTCAAGATTGTGAGCTCCTTGATAATATGCACAGCTACTTGGCCATTGAAGATAGATGACGATTGATAGATGTATAGATGTATAGCGAGATAGGTAGATGATTGATTGATAGATAGATAGATAGACAGATAGATAGATAGAGGATTTTCGTTAGGGATTAGATCGGTAGATGGGCGACAGATGATCTGCATCTGCATTAGGGAAAATTTTCAATATCTTTACCTAGGGGGACTTGCCAGGTAGGAGTCCCCACTTTTATCGCCTTTATAGATGTGCCCCAACTTCTGATGGTTGGACTTACAATGCTTCTACTTTAGATAAGTTTATCATGGTATTAAGTGCATTTTCAACTTACAATATTTTTTTTTTTTTTTTGAGACGGAGTTTCGCTCTTTTTACCCAGGCTGGAGTGCAATGGCGCGATCTCGGCTCACCGCAACCTCCGCCTCCCGGGTTCAGGCAATTCTCCTGCCCCAGCCTCCTGAGTCGCTGGGATTACAGGCACGTGCCACCATGCCCAGCTAATTTTTTGTATTTTTAGTAGAGACGGGGTTTCACCATGTTGACCAGGATGGTCTCGATCTCTTGACCTCGTGATCCACCCGCCTCGGCCTCCCACAGTGCTGGGATTACAGGCTTGAGCCACCGCGCCCGGCGTACAATATTTTTTAATTACGATGGGGCTGATAGGGACATAACCCCATCATAAGTCAAGGAGCATCTGTACACACAAACACACACAGATACGTGGTCACACAACATGCTGAGTGCAGGACTCAGGGACACAGGGACTGAGGCCATGTGAGGATTCACCACTGATTATTCTAAAGCCATCCCAATTCTGCTTTTCAAACAAGACTCCAGCCCCACCTGGCCCCCTCCCCAGTGAGTGCCTGTGACGCTGCTAGTGCCAATAAGAACCTTCCAGACCAGAAGCCTGCTATCCGAGCTCTTGGACAGAAGCAGAGGCTCCACAGAGGTGACAGGCAATGAGCAACAGCTCAGCCTACTGCCCGGGACCTGCCTATAAGAGGCATAGCCGAGGGACAGTCTTTCTAGATGACCAGCCTGTGCCACTCCTTTCCCCAAAAGAGGGTCGTGGGGCCTGATGGAAGAGCTCCGTTTTCCCCATATTTTGCCTACAGAGAGCAGATTTAAGACAGAACAAGGTCTGAGAAAGCAAGAAGCAAAATGCCTACAGGTGTCCCTCGACTGTGCTTCCCAGGAAAGCCAGCTCTGAATTCTTCATAGCTTCATTAGGCCCTGGGCGAGGCAGGCCCTCTGGGTCAATGATAGGGAGAGAGGAGAAGAAAATGCAGGCTTTCTGGACTTTGACTTGTCAACACCCCTCACTCCCCTCCCCACCCCCCAATAAACGATACTGTGCTGCTGCTGGCAAATCTGCCTGGCTTAGAGTCTCCGCACCAGAAATGTGAGCCTCTTCTGTTATAGTTTAAGTGGTGGTCCTACTTATAGATGCAACCCCCAGAGGAGGGCCCCGTGAACCCCGGGCCAGAAGAAACTCCCCTCTAGAGCCTCAGGAGGCTGGGACAGGGCAAGCGAAGCAACAGGGGAGGAGGGTGTGCTGCCACCGCCCACTGCTGCCCTAGTGGAAGCTCCAGGCCGAGAACAGTTCTCTTTTATTTCCTCCACGCTGGCCAGGCCAGGCCTGCAGCTGACAGCAGGAGAGGGGCTGAGCCACAGGAGCATAGGCGGCCTTGTGCGGGGCAGAGCCGGGCAGCTGGGGGGTGCTCGAGGGACAACTTCCCCTGCAATTGCCCACTCCTTGCTGGGGTTCCTTAGCCTTAACATTGAGTCCTCGTGTTGAGATCGCTGGGCAGTCGGGAACTCTGGCCTCAGCGGTAACACAGAAAAGGAGAGGAGGGAGGGTCCATGAGGATGATGGGCTCAGCGACAGACCAGGGGTGGTTTCCAAGTGGGCCTGGCACCCTGGCCTGACACAGTGGGATTTTTGGGTGATATCCACCTGAATGGGGTAGTAAGCCAGCAAAAATAGAAAAAGTGAGAGCGCCTTTCAGAAAGTGTGTGAGGCCAGGCACGGTGGCTCACACCTGTAATCCCAGCACTTTGGGAGTCTGAGACCAGCCTGACCAACATGGTGAAACCCCGTCTCTACTAAAAGTACAAAAATTAGTCAGGTGTGTTAGTGCATGTCTGTAATCCCAGCTACTGGGGAGGCTGAGGCAGAAGAATCGCTTTCACCCGGGCGGCAGAGGTTGCAGTGAGCTGAGATTGTACCACTGTACTCCAGCCTGGGCCACAGAGCAAGACTCCATCTCAAAAAAAAAAAAGTGTGTGGGTGTGTGGGGGTGTGTGAGTATGTGTGCGTGCGTGTGCATGCATGTATGTAAAACATTGCTCTTGTATGGTAAAGTGGCTGAGCTGTGTGGAAGGGAAGATTTGAATGTATTAAATTGCGTGATGAAGACAGACGTCAGTGCATGACAGGCTGTGGGTGGTTGTGTTTCTCAGTCATTCATTTGTTGTGTCATCTATTGCTGCATAACAAATGACCCCAATCTAGTGGCTTAAATGAACAACAGTTATCATCTTGTATTGTCTGTGGGTCAGGAATCCTGTACAACTTACCTGGTCCTCTGGCTCTGAGTCTCTCAAAAGCTCCAACCAAGGGGCTGGCCCAGTTTGCAGTCATCTCAAAGTTCGACTCCTGTGGGTCACTGCATGGCTTCCTCATGGGTTGGCGGACTGAGGGCCTCAGTTCCTTACTGGCTGTCACCTGGAGGTTAGTCCCAGCTCCTTGCCACATGGGCCTCTCCATAGGGCAGTTTACACATGGAAGCCGACTGCATCGGGGCAGGCAAGGTGAGGAGAGAGAGGACAGGATGGGAACCTAATCACAGAGGCAACACCTATCCCCATTTGTCTTAGTCCATTCAGCCTGCTGTTGCAAAGTACCAGAGACTAAGGAGTGACTTACAACAACAGAAACTTACCTCTCACGCTTCTGGGGGCTGGAAACCTGAGATCAGGGTGCCGACATGGTGAGGTTCTGGTGAGGGTCCTCCTCTTCCAGGTTATAGACTGCCACCTTCTCATATCCTACATGGCAGAGAGGACAAGACAGCTCTCTGGGGTTCCTTTTATAAGGGCACAAATTCCATTCGTGAGGACCCTACCCTTACGACCTAATCACCTCCCCAGGGCCCCCTCCTAATAGCATCCCAGCAGGAGTTAGGATTCCAATCTATAAATGTCTGGGGGACACATTCCGTCCACTGTACCTTTGCTGTCTTCCATTCATTAGAAGTGAGTCACTCAAGGGAAGGGGATTACACAAGGGGATGAATGCAGGAGACAGGGAGCACTGGGGGACTGTTTTAGAAGCTGCCTATCACATCCGTTAATTCATTCAGCAGTTATTCCATGAGGACCTGCTGTGTACAAGACAGCATGCTCGGGGTGGAAGACAGAACAATGACAGGTGGTTCTTGCCACTTGCAGGTTACAGCCTGGTAGGTGAGGCATGTATCAATTAACTATACAAATAAATGTCAAATTCCAAGGTCAGAAAATGCCTCAAAAGAGGGAGGTACATGTGCCAGGGGAGCCTTTAACCAGGGGACCAGGCCAGGGCCTTCCTGAGGATGGTGATTGAAAAGTAGGCCAAGGCATGAGAGAACCAAGAGTTAACCGGGCAGTATGGAGGGGAGGGGACAGAAGAGGCAGCACCCCCAGCCCAAAGGACAGCATCATAGGTGTGTGACAGTGATGGGTGACAGCACAGAGCACGTGTGCATGTTCGTGTTGTTTTGTATCTGGGTGAACTTGTGTGTTTACACAGTGTGAGTGAATTTCCCAGGTGCACAACGCTACTGGTGCACTTATGGACTCTAGAAAAGGAACAGGAAGGTGGCAGAGAGAACCAAACCTGAGCAGCCTCTCTGAACTTTCAGAATGATGTTCCTTCACTCTTCTCCCCACTCTTCCCCCTTCCCAATTCCCTCTCTGTTAAGGTTTCTTTGGGGAGTCATATATGTCCTCATAAAGAGCAAAAGTCTGCTGATGCAGCCTAATGCATCATCCGGGAAAGCAGAGCTGTCTGCAAGGGCTGGCTCTGCCCCCAGCCCAGCCTTGGAGGCTCCATTCTGCAAAGCAGCATCTCCCTGGTTGAAGAGATGGTCTATTGATTGAGGCCAAAGTGACTTTTTATGGGGCCTTCGGTCCAGAGACAGGAAAGAGACTGGGAGGACGCTGAAGTCAGGAGCCCCTGGTGGAAGGAGGTGGGGAGAAGCCCTTCAGCCAATGGGAAGGGCAGAGTGGGGCAGGAAAGGAGCTGGGAAAGCCCCTGGCCAGAACAAGACCCCTCTAGGTGTCAGGGGAGCCAAGTTTTGAGAGGGCTGAGGCAGGACACAGTGTGACATGTGGCCCAGCCCCATACACCTGGGTCTGAGGCTGAGGAATCCCATGCAAGGCCCAGTCACACAGAGACAAGCCCAGACCTGCTCAAATCAGCAAACATGTGTGGGCCTTGTCCTCAAGGAACCCAAGGAGGAGGCTTTCCTCCTTGCAGTAGCACCTTGATGAATTTTGCAAGCTAACCCAGGACCTGGGATCCTAGCTCAACTCAGCCAAGGACTAAGGGCCTGACTCCCACTCATCCTCCCTTTGTTTATCAATATTCTATGCCCCTGTGCCAGGCACTGCATTAGTCTCTGGGGGCACAGACGTGGTCCTAGCACTCATGGGCCTTACAGTTTAGATAGAAAATAATCATTGAGCAATATTCACGTCACCATGGGATGACGATTGTGCGAGTTATATGAACAGAAAAACACAGATCTAACCTGGTTTGGAAGACATTGTGGATCCAGGGAGTGCTGAGCCCTGTAGAGCTGACTAGGTCTGTCTGAGTGTCAGCCTTGGCTCTCCCTCCATTCTGGCAACAGTGTCCATTGCTGCATTTTCTCAGCGGATTAATTGGATGATGGTCCACTTTTCTCTGACCCACCACCCAGTTTTGCAATCACGGACCTAGTCAATCCTCTAAGACTGAGCCTATCTCTAGCCTGCGCTGGCCTGGAGCTGTCCCTCCCACTGTCTCTTGGGTTCCCTTGCCTCACAACATAGTGGACCCCAACATCAGCCACCTGTGTGGCCCTTCTCTAGGGCTGAGGAACATTTTCTTACTCCCTTCACACACTACTGAAAGGGAAAGGGTCGCGGGATGAGATGGAGTGAGAGGGCACTTCAGGTCCTCCCTGCTTCAGTGTTCCCCCATTGATATTCACGGATTCTGGGAGAAATGAGACAGTCTTCTCCACCTTTACATCCCAGCCCACCCCTAGTCTGAACCATGTCGCGGGAACTGAGGTGCCAGCCTCCTCCACGTCCTCACTGGTTCTCGTCTCTTGCCACCAGTGGTACTTGCATCTCCATCTGTGTCATGCTCTGCTTTCTTCCCTGCTCAGACACCCACCTAAGGTCAGTCATCTAAGCTCGGGATCTTCAGAGTCCATGCATGCTTTCTTCCGCCCCACAAAGCCAGACTTTTACAAATGAAAGTCTTGCTTTTCTGACCATTGTCATTTCTATCGCTTTAAAGCCGTGGTGCTTAACCTTGGCTGAACTTTTGTAGGGACCTGAAAAGTTCCCATTCCCAGAACTTCTGATTTAATTGACCCATTGATCTTAAAGTTCAATTAATTTAATTTATGATTAAATCAATTTGATCAATTCTGCAAGGATTCTGCCTTGCAGCCAGGGCCGAGAACCACTGCTTTAAAGAGTTTAATTTAAGAGTAGCAATGACTTCTTTGTCTCTGCAGATCCTGCCCTCCCTCCCCATGAAGGAAGCTAAGCCTCAGCAGCACGCATTGATTCAACACTTGTCAGTTGAACCCTTTCTGTGTGTCAGCCACTGTTCTAGGTGCTTGGGGCACAGCAGTGAACAAAACAGACAAAAATCTCTGCCCTTGGGTCACTTCTGGCTTCTCATCTGGTTTTTACATTTTTAAATGATTGAAAATGATCAAAAAAGAGAATAATATTTCCTGATGTGTGAAAATTATATAAAATTATATAGAATTCAAATTATATAAGATTCAAACCTTTAATGGTTGAAAAAAAATCAAAAGATGAGCACTATTTCCTGACACAGGAAAATCATGTAAAATTCGAATTTCAGTGTCCATAAACAAATTTCTCTGGAGCACAGCCATGCTCATTTGTTCTTTTAATGTCTATGGCTGAGTTTGCACTCGAGTGGCAGAGTTTAATTGCAGCAGACACCATTTAGCATAAAATATTTACTCTCTGGTCCATTACAGAAAAAAAACTTTGCCAACCCCTCTGTCGACAATTGGATACATGGATCTGGAGCTCAGGGGGATCATACAGGCTGGAGACATAAATATGGAGGCATGTAAGCCATGGAAGTGGGTGAGATGGGAGGACGAGCATGGAGAGAGAAGGGAAGAGGCTGAGGCCAGGCCCTGAAAAACTTGGACATTTGAAGGTTGGATGGAGGAGAAACAGCCCAAAAATAAGATGAAGAAAGAGTAGGCAAGACGATGGAGGAAAATCCAGAGAGTATGTTGTCATGACAGAAAAGGAAAGTAAGTTATCACGAGGGACCGAGAGGTTAACAAGTCAATGCTGCTGAGAAGTCAAATCATATGAGAATGGAAAATGTCTAATGAATTCAACAATGAGAGGCTAATTAGTGGCCCTGGTGGGTCAGTTGCAGTAGAGCCATGAGAGAAGAAGCCGGTTTGGAATGGGAGGAGGAGAGGATGGTGAGGAAGTGGGCATGAACCATTAGGATAACTTTTTCCGAGTAGCTCAACTGAGAAGAGGAGGTGATCAGCCCGTAAAGAGAAAATGGTGGTTACAGGGAGAGGAAGGTCAAGGAGGTTTTGTTTTCGTCATTGTTGTTTGTTTTAGCTTCAGAATGATTGGAGGGTGTTTGAAAAAGGGTAAGAAGGGCCGGGCGCGGTGGCTTATGCCTGTAATCCTAGCACTTTGGGAGGCCGAGGTGGGTGGATCACCTGAAGTCAGGAGTTCGAGACCAGTCTGGCCAACATGGTGAAACCCCATCTCTACTAAAAATGCAAAAATTTGCCGGATGTGGTGGTGCGCGCCTGCAATCCCAGCTACTGCGGAGATTGAAGCAGGAGAATCGCTTGAACCCAGGAGGCAGAGGTTACAGTGAGCTGAGATCGCACCACTGCACTCCAGCTTGGGCAACAAGAGTGAAACTCCATCTGAAAAAAAAAAACACAAGAAGTTAGGGAAAGCAGACCCAGCCAGAGAAGGCTGCACCTTACGTTTCTCCTGTTGCAGGTGCAGTAGAAAAGGGCGACCCTTTCGTGCCAAATAGTGCAGCTTAAAATCCTGGCTCTGTCTCTTCCTATGTGATCTTTGCTAGTGACTATCTCCAGGTCTCAGTGTCCTCATCTGTGAAGTGGGGACAAGCCTCTCTTGTTCACAAGATTTGTGAGGATCAGAGGCAATGACATTCACACACCAGCCATAGTGTCTAACACATCAGAGACACTCAATGTTAGATTTCCTCCTCCTTGTCCCAAACCATTCCCAGCCCCGCTACTTCCCAGACTTTGACTTGGAAAAAGAGAAAAGAATCTCGTACAGAAACTTGACCTACATTTAGTGCCAAGTCTCTCGTCTTTCAGGAGGGGAAGAGAGGCGACTCCAGGGATGCATTCAGCCAGCTGGCCTGGACTCAGCCAGATGAATTGCTTTGGAAGCTCCCAGCTAAGGAAGGACTCAGATTCCTTCTTCCAATCAGATCTTGGCCTGATCCCTCTGGCTATCTGAACTCTGGAAGCTTTTGTCAAAACAGGAATTCCTAGCCAGTTGTGCCAGGGTTCTAGTTTTATAGAAGGTTCTGTAGCATTATAGTGTTTGGGGGTTGTCTGGAATCATCACCAGGCCAGCAAACTTTCACCATCTCAGGAGATGTTTGTTTGTTTGTTTTGAGACAGAGTCTCACTCTGTTGCCCAGGCTGGAGTGCAGTGGTGTGATCTTGACTCACTGCAACCTCAGCCTCCTGGGTTCAAGCAATTCTTGTGCTTCAGCCTCCCAGGT